CATGTTTGGTTGAATTGTTATTCCCTAAAATAAGGAATAACCATTCCTAATACCCACCCCATGAATTGCAAGGCAAGGTAAAATAAAACTGTTAAGACAAGGCTACTCTTATGGCATTTTCAAAATTACCAAAGTCTTAAGGCTTAAACTGCACCATATGATGCCATAGGCGTTTGTGCTGGTGTAGTAGTAGGCATAGCTTAAGTGACTTAAGTAGGGATGGTAACAGGGCGGGTTAAGGGTGGGTTTTACCAAACTCGAATTCGACCCACTCCTATAAAAAGGAAAGCTGAACCCACTCCAAACTCGGTGTGGGTTTGAATTTCTTTTCTTTCTTCGAACCATGTTGGGTTTACGGGTCACCCAACCAAGTTATTTATTATATTTTTATGAATAAAAACATATTTATATTAATACAAACGTAAAGATATTTATTGATATATATAATAATACATACTAATTATATTTATCAATATATATTATTATATTTATTAATATAATATATTCTATTTATTTATGTAAATATATATGCATTTATAATAATAAAAAATTGAAATATATATATATCCATAACAGTAGTTTGGACAAGGTTTGGAATGTCAAACCCAAACCTGCCCTGCCCGTCCCTCTTTTTCTGAAACCTATACCCGAACCCAGCATTTTAACGAGAAAACTATATGGGATCAGGTTCAGACGGGTCAGATTAAATGGGTTCTTGGTCCAAAATGTCACCCCAGATCTGAGAGCTTGGCAGTGAAATGTTTCTTTGAGTGAGTCATATATGATGAAAGAAGAGGCTAAGAAGGAGAGAGACATATAAGAAGGATCTTGGTGATGGATAAAGAGAGAAATAAGATCCAGCCACGCTTGAAACTGAGTTGAGACTAAAAGAGGGAGGAGAACATGGGGGAGCCGTGAATGGTGGGGAATGGAGATGTTGCTGCAGTTTTGGTGGTAAGGAGTGATAACGATAAATCAAAAATGGTGAAAATCAATGGTGCTTGAATGTGAGATGATGAATTTTTGAAACTAAAATACTGCCCTTTGATTTTTAATTTTCATGGCTGATTCTCTTTTGTTTTTTTCTGGGTATGGTTTCCATAGGATTTGAGAAGCCCCTTTTGATTTTCAGGTTGATTACATTAGACTCTTATTACATTTAGTGAATTAAATATGCTGTTGTTTCGTATAATTCCAAAAATAAATTTTCTCTATCATTTTTCTCAAAAGAAACAAATTTTCTTTACCATGTTATTGGAGTGTCATAATTTACAATTGACAACACGTGATTTTTACCTTGATTTCCACGTTTTCTCCAAGATGCTTGCCTTCAAGGGGTGGACTTTTTGTTTTACCTTGATTTCCACGTTTTCTCCAAGATGCTTGTCTTCAAGGGGTGGACTTTTTGTTTAACGGTAAGCGGTAAGGGATATTGTTTCCGGTTTGACTAATGGAAGATGCCAATTCTTGTGAATTGTAGGAAGATTTCTATGCTGTGGTAGACTGGGCATACAAAATTGATCCCTTACGCTGCATCTCAATGCATGGAATTACAGAGAAATATCTCTCTGGTCAGAAAGCTGATGCAGCAGGATTTGTGCGACTTCTGCTTGGTGACCTTGAGTCAAGAATTTCTATGCAGTTTAGCCGTGTATGTTTAGGTCTTAAACAGGAAGGCATTGTCTTCTTCATTCTAGTTACTATAACATTAGCTCATTTGACTTTTCATTCATTGCAGTTTGTCGATGAAGCTTGTCACCAAATTGAAAGAAATGAGCGTAATGTGAGGCAGATGGGTGTCTTGTCATACATTCCAAGGTAAACTGGAAATGATATGCTTGTATTGAAAGTGAAATCATGCCTTTCCAGATAAATGTTGACAGATAGTTATCATTATTGAATTATATCATAGATGAGGAAAAATGAGAAGCAAACTTGGAAGATTTCTTTTTGAGAACTAAAACTTTCCTTAGCATGTTGTGAGATCTTGAACTAGAATGTTCCATGTGTTATGGACGTCACTGATTGATCAGCTTAAAAATTTGCTGGTTACGATCTAATGGTTGTTATCAAATGGTTGTGTTGAGAAAAAAAAAATGAATCTATTTATTATCCTGTTGAAAATAAAAAATACGTGAGTGTTTTAGGGAGTTGAATGTCAAGGAAAGAAACGAAAAATCAAATTGAAAACTAACTATTAGGAAAATAATTTGTGCTAACATTCTTACTCAACTAGAATATATATAGCATATGCACCAAGCTTGTGACAACTTGATCATGTGGTTTTTTATTTGACTTCTGTAACTCGAATAAGGTCTTGTTGGAGCTTTCTCAAATAAAATGACAATTAGCTTTTAGTGTTTAGTTCTTTTATGAAAACTAGGTCTAACGCAACATGAATTGCTATCTGGTTATCGTATTGCTATTATATGGATTGTGAGTATGAAAATCGGAAGCTTGTGGCGCAAACATTTTAGTCAAATGAACTCATGAGTAGCATGAGCTGCAGCTTGATATCCTAACACAACATTAGATTTTTTGCTCTTTGTAGATATCATATTACCACCTATTATATACAATAACCTATAGTAAGTCTGTGATGCAAGAATAGCCCAATTGCCATGTGTACTATTGAATTAAGATATGCCTATGGCTCTTACAGAGTGCCTCAATTTTGGACCAAACAAATACACATCCTAAAAGAGAAGGAAGAGCTAGTTAGGCCAAAAAGATACCTCAACCTTGAAACAGATAAAAACACATCCCAGAAGAGAAGGAAGAGCTAGTTAACCCAACTCAGTTCATTCCCGATTCTTTTACCAGACTCAAGATGGGATCTTCATGTCAAGGAAAAAGACTATAAACAAGAAACTATTACTTAGGAGAAGGTCTTATTCAAAATATAGGAAACACATTCAATATTTAACGGGTTTATGGGAAATTTTATTAAGGACAAACCTACCTGGCTATATTTGCCTGAATTCACGTGCCACCAATTGATACGAGTTTCAGCTAATCAAGTGGAAGAATTTAACTGAGAGGAGGATGAAAGAGGAATAGGTATTCTCTTTCTTCAACTGGAGCTGAAATCAAGGAATCTTTTGCTCCATCCTTTGAAAGAGGTATTAAGACGTTGTAGCAACTACAAAAGTGACTTTTTCCACTTGTGGGGTTCAGAAAGATTTTTGCAACATGTCTCACTGTTTAGTTCACTCTCACCTACATTAGAGGCTTAGGCTATTTGGCAGCAACTTCTTAGATGTGGTTACCCTGTCTCTCTAGTTCTCTGATTACCTTTTTTGATCGAAACCTGCAGCTATATTATGTATAATGTTGCAATTGTTTTTTATTAGTTTTTAGCAGAGGAATCCTTTTCCAGTAAGTTTTCATCCCATTATAAACTCTGTTTAAAATTTGACATGACCTAGTTTTTCATGATTGTTTACCCTGGAAGCTTGAGCAGTCCTAGAAGCTTGTTTTACAATAGATTTTACACAGATAATAAAATTTAGAGCAACTTTGTCTTCTTCTACACGTATATTATTTTTTTTGTCCCCCTGAAATAATGCTCATTAGTGTTGCATATGCATAGATTTGCAACTCTTGCTACCCGGATGGAGCAGTATATACAAGGACAATCCAGGGATTTGGTTGATCAGGCATACACAAAATTTGTAAGTAGTCTTTTGAAAACTGAGTTGAAATACAAGCAGGTAGCATAGAATTATCCATGGAGTTTCAGTTGGCTTGTTCTTATCCCTATTCTGATGACTTCTACTGTTTATTTGAACAATTACAAAAAGATTCAAGTGTATACTATATTGGTGAGATACTAGACTTGATAGACCATTGTGTCAGATAGTTTTCAGATTGAAATATTATAATAAACAGATCTATCATGCCACCAGAAACTCTTAGATTAGTATATGAAGTTTTTGTACTTCATCACAATCTCGAGCTTATTATCAATTTATATTGAACTATTCTTAAAAAATTCTATATTACATCATGAATTTGAATAAGGGACAGATGCCTTGTGAATGCTATAGAAGTGTACAGTGCTTCTGTTTTCAATATGTTGCTAGCGGTAGAATATTCTCTCTAATTCTAGTGCAATCTTAGAGAAGCATATTGTACCTCTGTTTTCAGTTTGTACTTCGTAATATTCATGTTCCTGAATCATCAATCTGTATCGTGCTACTCTTAAAAATAGTCTGTCAACTTACGGATTGAACAAGGGACAGAGTCTATGTGAATTCTTAAAAAAATAGTTCTACTCCTGATCTGTTGATTGCATTAGAATATTCTGTCTTTTTGCCATTAACTTACATTACATATATTACTTAACAGGTTAGCATAATGTTTGTGACTCTAGAGAAAATTGCTCAGACAGATCCAAAATATGCTGATATTTTTCTCCTAGAGAACTATGCAGCATTCCAGAATAGGTACTCATTCTCGGCTATAACTAAGTTTCTCTTTCTGTTGATTCTCGAAAAACATGTCTCCCTTTTGATTTTCACTTCCTGAGTAAGAAACAACTATGTGCAGCCTGTATGACCTAGCCAATGTAGTTCCAACTTTAGCCAAATTCTATCACCAGGCAAGTGAAGCTTATGAACAGGCTTGTACGCGTCATATCAGCATGATTATTTACTATGTAAGTAATTCCCCTCAGTTCTTTGTTCTACCTTCTTCTATGTTACCAAATGCTAGTAATATATATTTTAAAATTGTTCATCCTCACTATGTCCTTTACAGCAATTTGAACGACTTTTCCAGTTTGCTAAAAAGATTGAAGACTTGATGTACACAATTTCTCCGGAAGAGGTCTGTGTTATCCTTGTCAACATATTTTGTTAGTATGCCTTCTGTTTTAGTCAAACAAGAAAGGAAAATTTTTGTGATGGGATCTCAGTTTGTGGACATGCCTGGAGAGAACCGAACATTTACTTTGGCATTTTGGCATCTGGGCACAAATATGAATGCATAATCTTCCTAGAGTCTGTTTCATTCCAGGATTCTTGGGATTTGTATAGTAAATACTTAAATGTCTTATACTTTTATGGTGTACTTTGTTCAATTTATCTTGAAATAACATCCGCCCACTACTCGGAGTTGAGACCCTGATGAGTGTTTATGCTTAGAATTTATAATTGTAGAAAAACTAGCTCATATCATATCAACAATTTTTTCAGATACCTTTCCAACTTGGATTATCAAAAATAGATCTGAGGAAGATGTTAAAATCCAGCCTATCTGGGGTAAGTGAATGTCGTGCAAATTGCATTCTCTTTACTTTCACACTGTGGGTAATAACTAGGTCAACAACTCTGTTTTACAGGTGGACAGGTCCATTGCCGCAATGTACAAAAAGTTGCAGAAGAATTTAACCTCAGAGGAACTGTTGCCCTCATTATGGGATAAATGCAAGGTATAAAAGAATGGATAAACAACATTGTTGGCATATATCTGATTCTTAAAAAGAATTGTGTTGCTCATTGATTATATTTCTTATGTATTTGACAGAAGGAATTTCTGGACAAATATGATAGCTTTGCACAACTCGTTGCAAAAATTTATCCAAATGAAACCATTCCTTCTGTGGCAGAAATGAGAGAGCTTCTTGCTTCTATGTAAAGAAAACGTGATTGTCTGTATTAATTTTTTTATACTTAAATATACGAGTGGAGAGCTGTATCTGCTGCTGTAATTATTAGGAGTATTCTTTTTTGAGGTTTTTGCCATGATTTATTGGAGAAAGTGGCTTTGGTGAGACTGAGCTTCTTTGGGAATTCGCTTCATATTTTTTTTCCCACAATGGGCATGGACGCGAGAGCCTAGCTTATTAATTCCGTCCACCCCAAGTGGTGTTAAAGTTGTTCCCAATTCAACGTAATTATTTTTTTATTATAAGAGTACGGTTTTACTTGTAATATTTGGTAAGATGATTATGAATAATCAATCAATTATTATTAAGATCTAAAGATCACGAAATAGTATAGTTTATCATTGGTCAATTTGTGCAGTGTCATGCATAAGTTCATCACAAGTTCAGCATCCCTAGTAGCCTCTTTATCAGTCCTTTTTGGGTGAAGGACTCGGTCATCTCAATTGGGGTTACTGTTGTCTAGGGCACATGGAAGACTCCCTTGCTAAATGAGCCCTACAAGGTCTTAGATATTGCATGCCATTTTAGAAATTCGTTTAGTAAGCTAATCCTCATAGTTTCAACAACTTTGTCGTCTCCAAATGCCTCACCATAAGGACTCTCTAGATTTATCAGCTCCATAAGTCTGACATCATAATCTCTAATCGAGACATCTTTCATCCTCAGCATTAACGAACTCTCTTCTGAGAATTAACAACTTGAGAGGTTATTGTCCTTCACTTCCTTTAGTCTCTTCTTGGAACTTCTCTCATGCTTGTTTTCTCTAGCTTCAATAACCATCTGAAAATTGCTTCAGAAGCTACCAAGTGGAAGAAGGATAATGCTTTAAAATTGCTTCAGAAATCACACATCAATAGTAATAACTTTTTCCTCCGTTCATTTCACTTGCATTTTACTTGCAATCTTTATTTATATTAAATTGGAGCATGGGTATTAAATTGAAGCTAACGTTTTGCATTTTTTATTATGCTCAATATGTTATTTCTCTTGAAACCTAATTTTTTACTGGACCTTCTGTAATTGCATTTTTTTCGTAAGAATTATAATAAAATTTTATTAAAATATCTTACAACTGTTATGTTCTGTATGATTTGAAATAACTAAATAATGTCTTTTTGTTATTGGATTATTTTAGCTATAAATTGCATAGTTGGATATCTTGAATTTTACAATTATGGAATTGTAAATCTATTTGTCCAAAAATAATAACAATTTTAATATGAAATTTATCATTTGAAATTGGAATAATATTTCACTAAATTTTTTTACTTTTATATTATATTTACATAATTATTTAATAAAAATTACATTTCAACCAATCAAACTAATATATAAATATGAATAAAATGACTACTGCCTTAAATTTATTATTGGGATGATGAAAATGGCATAAGAAACTATCGAATAATATTGCCTACAATCAGAAAATAAAAATCTTTACCAAAATGTGTAAAATGACTGACTGGGATCACTCTCAACTCATAGAAGATATATAGTTAAATTAACAGACCAAAATATACTGTACGTACGTGTAATAAACAAAATATTATAGTGATCATCCAGAGATTGTCTGAGACCGATTAGGAAATCTAAGATGAAGCTTCACACGGTAAGTTGCATGGACCTCATCAGTTCCTTTATTGGTCTGTAAGAAGACAGCAATTCCACGAGCAAAAGCGAAAGAACCTGTTCCTCCCACAACACTCAACTCTTGTGTGTTCTTGTGGGCGACAGACTTGGCTTGGAGACCCACGCTGCCTGAGTATTTGGGTGTATCAAAAGTAAGATAGATGACGTTGAAGATCGAGTGTGCAAAATGGTCAATTGGTATAATAAAGCCTTGAGCCTTGCCAACAACCTGGGAAGTGTTATCTGGTCCTTCCGTTAATGTACGGTGAAAGATAAATGCGCCAGCAACGCCATCAGCTGCTGTTGGCTGGAATTTAGTGGTTGCAACGTGTGGCTGCTGAATGTACAAGGATAGAGCAAACCAAGGCCTGGCAGATGTTGCGGGTTTCTTATGAGCTGCTGGTGAGAAGAGAGCCAACAAAACCACCACCAATATCGCTGACAACACGGCCAAGCAAAATATGATTCTTGATAGCATATTTTACCACAACTTATTCGCATGCCAGGACTACCTCCTACTTTCACTTTAATAGATTTCCTCTTCAACAAAATTCCAACTTGTTCTGACCACCTAATCCATTCCTTTACTCCTACTTCCCCAACTAAACCTGTACAACTTTCAGGTCTCAACTACGAAACTGTTGACTCCAGTACCTGCTCCACCTCTTCCCTTCATAACTCCCAATGCTATAAGATGCACCATGAATCATCACCCATCTATGAAACGTGTTGTAACCAACGCATTGTTGACCACTAAATACAAGTAAAAGCGAGAGATGCATTGCCTACGCTGCCTACCTCATCATCTCTACTTCACCCTTAATGAAATTTGTCTTCCTGCTCAATACAGAAGATGGGAGGAGAATACTTCCATTCACATCACCCTGCCGTTTCAATGTTCATAAATAAATTGAAGATGATCCTACATAATCTTTTTAACAATATGTCTATCTTTCTCCAACAGAAAAAAAATCATTGGTCTTCAAACAGTATAGCATTCAGATATTTGAAGGGATCAAAGAATTACACAAAGTTACAAACACACTTATCCGTAGGACAATCCGCTCCACCATCCTTTTCATTCTTCCTGCTACATATTTTTGTGAAGGTCCACCACTCTACTTCAGCTTACAACTAAGCTGACGAAGAACACTGAATGTGGTAACAGGATAAGCATCCACTACCTGACGCATAACAATCACATCTCTCCAATTTGCCTCCCATTTTGCAGTGCACTGCACCTGAAACCAAACCAAATCAACAGTAAGGCAAGACTGCTACCCTAAAAATCTTTTATTTAATTAACAACTGCTCATGAAGTTGCAGGAGACTAGCTGGGCCATGCAGCACCGACACCCACACTACCCAGCATCATAAAAAGATGAAAGCCGAGAAAAATTACCTGCAGAAGTACAACAACTAGTAGAAGACTAACAAGAGACCAGTAATAGCAATATAGCCAAAATGTAAAAAGAAAAAAAAAAAAGATAATAAGCCAGAACCTCTCATACACTTAGATTGATCAACTGGAGTTAATCAAGTAAAATTTCCAACCCAAAAAACTCTATTAACAATCCTGAGATAGGGCCATGGTGGTAAGCTGAGCTGATTATTGTCAGACTTCTTATTGGAGAGACCCAGTCTCCAGCATTTACAATGGCATTTACCTACTTTTTTTCCAAAAAAAACCTAATTTAGAAGCGAGTAAAGAAATAGGAAACTATTATGTACATCAAAAACTTTAGATTCATCATTTTTCTCCTGAATGCCTAACAAAACATGAAGACTCATTGAATAAAATATCTATATTACAGGAATCACAAAATCCATCCCTTTGCATTACTAATCGATATGACAAACGAACAAAAGACTGCTACAGAAACAAAGCTCTGGAAGAATCAAATACTTAAATCAGAGACCAAAATTTTCATAAAACTTGTTTTTTTCGGTGCATCAGCCCAATTCAAAATAATCCTCATAGTCATATTACCTGCAATCTGCTTGACCAGTGTATGAAATAATGTATGTCCTTGACCATTTCCCCATCCTTCAACATCAATTCAACTGATGTCAACAGTAGAACACCTTAAAGTCAAGCAACACTAGTCACAATACAAACTCCTTTATCAAAATGTTCTTGAATGAATCCAAACCAAAAGGAGTCTAGAGCCATGTATCTTCTACTTCTGGTCACAGAATCCAGAAGAAAAGTCATGAGACCAGATATCTCTACTAGGTATATATTAAGTATGTGCTTTCAATATAAAAATTACAATAAGATCACAAGAATCTTTTTTTTAAATAAAGATATCACAAGAATATTACCAACCGCATGAGATGGATTCTGACTAAATAGACAAAAAACACCCAATGGAATCCTTCAAATCGAAATGCCGGATTCAATAGATGGTCTACCAATTTTGCAGACCCAAAGAATAAAGAATTTAACAGAAGAAAGTGAGGAGGGGAGAATATAATGTGACAGGGAGAGAAGAAAAAGGAATACCAGGAGACAAATTTACACTAATTTAAACATATAGCATCAGATGATAAAAATATCTCCTCCACTTCTGAAAAAGAAATTATGAAGTGGTACCAGAGCCCTATCGTCAACTTATCAAAGGCTTAGCTTTGCGAATATGGCCCATGCTATTAACAAGATCTTTGCGGGTGCAAACAGGGAACATATTGATATGCTTGAGAACTTTCAGTCGCCATAGAACATATGGAAAGCTTAACTGATCCCGAGAAGTGAATCGAACCACCTCATTGAACCAGAGGCACATCAGTAAATTAGTCAATGGTGTATGTTCCCTCACAATAACAGAAGCCTCAGATAAAGCTGCATAAAACAACAATCTGATCAATGATGAATACACAAGATTACCCATAAAAAACGGTCAATGTAATATCCTCTGCTGATATAAGTATGCTAATGTGTTTGGCTTTCCCTAAAATAATTTTTAGGATGAATTATAATAGTCCTTAAGATTTGGGTATAAAAACAATTGGGTTCACGATTTTAAAACAATAACAATCTAATCCTTAAAAAAATTTACAATTGCAAAATTCGAAAAAGAAAAAGAACTTAATCATAAACTCTGTGCAAAACTTATGCTCTTCTTAGTACTACAATCTTAGTGTCTGTTTACTTGGGCTTCTGCTTCTGCTTCTGCTTCTGCTATCAAAAAGCAAGAGCCCAACCAAATGCTAGAAAAGAAAAGTGCTTTTACAAAAGTAAAACCTGTTTTTTGTTTTTCATAAAGATAAAATCAAAAGTTAAAAATAGATATATTTGAAAATGATTTGCATTGTAGGAGCTATATAATATCTTTAATGAGTATATTTATTAACTTTACATTTCATCCATAAATAAATTTAGTACTTTTATGATAAAAATATAATATTAGTTCATTATCAATAATTTTCTATCTATTGTAAAGTATTTAAATAATATTAAATTAATATTTCAAATTATTAAAATTACTAGATTAATTTTTTAAAAAAATATTATTATTCAAATAATTACAGTAATTGATTTTTATTGCTACATATATTTTATCGTTTCAATATTTATTATTAAATTTATAACATTATTAGACACGGTCAAGCCAAAAAGATCCTTAGTGTTGTTTTTACTTGATAATATTAGCTAAAACCATGAGTTTTTTCCTTTTCTCATAACGAATTGCTTGTTATCAAAGTAAAAAGTTATTTTCAAAGCACTTCTACCAGCTCACAGCATAAGCACTAACCAAACCAAACAGACCCTTATTGTTATTTTTTACTTGACAATATTAGCTACCATCATGACTTTTTCTGTGCCTTTGCTTGTCACCAAGCTGTTTTTTCTTATTTTCGAATCATGTAACTATCATGTAATATATATTAAACAATCATTTAAAATTTATTAAGAAACTGGACTTAATTGACATATAAAATTTTATAGAGGTAGTGGATTGTTATTCTCGAAAAGTTATGGACTAGTTACAATTATGCTGAAACCTTAAGATTTTTTATGCAATTTACCCTAATTTTGTCCACCCACTACCTCTCTGAAACCAGCTTTTCCCCATAAGTTTCAAGCTTTCATAAAAAGAATATATTTACATATATATATGGTTGACAGAAAATGCAGGTTTGGATCCAAGAAAGGTTTCAAAAATCACATTCATTGTGTTTCCCAGTAGAGAGCTTCATTCACATCAAGGTCATTATTAGAGATGCGCAAAACTGCACCAAAAATAATATCTAGAAGCCAGGCATAACAAGGCAGGAAAAAAATAGTGGGCACGGGTAAAAGGACCAAAGAGAATATGCCAAATGGGTGTATATGCAATAAAATTGTAAAAATGAAAAGATTCAAGTAAAAGACAAAGGGCAGAGGAACAATCTAAATAAACAACGGCAGGTTACTAGTCAAAGAT